GAGCACAGACAGGAGCAGTTTTCTCTGTGCCCTGTGCCCTGTCTGTGCTCCTGCACTCTGAAGATGCCGGTCACAGGTGCTGGCGAAACGTTAGGAAACAAAACTTCCAGAACACGGCCACACAGCCCGGAAGACCCACACCAGCCATCGTATGCCAGCCGTGAAAGCCTTCGACAATACAAACTCTTTCCCTCTTTTGAAAGTATGACATCTCAGATATATATCTTCTTGCATTCAGGGTCAACTGGCAGTGTGATAGTTTGTGCAGCAGAATGGGCCAGATTATTGATCCATGAGAGATTCGTTTCTTTTCTGTTGCGACTAAACATATCTAAACTGTGATAAGCTTTTTATTCCTGCTTAGCTCTGGATGATGTTCCAGAGGGTTTTTTTTTCCACAGTTGAAAAATGCTGTCCTGAAAACTTTAATGTGTCCATTGAAGTCATTTTAGATACTATTTGTTCAGATGATTATCTTAGGAGATACCAAACCAACAATAATATTTTTTTATTATTTTTACTGCTTTTTTAGAGTGTTCAGCCAGATTCTTCATCACCTCGACATGTAAGTTTTCCCATCTGGTCTTTACATAGTCTGACAAATAAAAAATTGCTGCAACAGTTGTTGCTGTTTCAAAAACATTACCGTTAAGGAGAAATTATACTTTCAGAGAGAAGCATTGATGATTTAAAAAAAAAAATCCTAGCTATGTATATTATACATTTTCAAATGGCCTGTATACAGTTCAAAATGTACTAATTAAATCTATTCAAAATGAAAATGGTGGTCTAAATAAAAAGTTTTTGGAGTATTAACCACAGAATACAAGAAAACAACAACAAACACACAGATACAACAACATTTGTTTTAATGGTGCCTTATGACTGATATGAATTCAAGAAAGTCAAAAAAGAGTTAAGGTAATTTCTATTACTTTAGTAGAAGCTGCAAAGAATCTAATGATTGCAGAAAATAAGTTGATGTTTAGAACTGGAAATTAATGTTACTTGAATCTTTGTTTCTTGCATGGAGTATGAAGCCTATGTAACTGATACAGAATTAAAATAATGCTGTGCCATGTCTTATTGGAGTGTGAAAAAAAAAACTATTCCTTTGTCTAGAAAGGGCATAAGCTCTGTCTTTAGTGGAACTAGCATGCAAAATGAAGTTTCAAAACTGATTTTTGAAGAAAGGAATAGTTATGATTTACAACTTAAGTTGCAGTACTCAAACTTGTATTCCAGGGTCATAACCGAATCATAGCCTACAGCAGGCCTGTTTACTTCTGTATATGCTGCAGTCTCATTTGGCTATTGGACTATGGCAGCAAGAGCACTTTTACTGCACGGTTCCGACTATATGGAATGGTTTTCACGAATCCAATATTGCTGCTTTCGGCAAGGGACTTGATTATGGGTAAGTGACTTTTCCATATGGTGTATTTAGGTAAGGGCTGGAAAACCTGTAGCCTTCCAGATGTTGTTGAACTAAAAATGCAGCAATCTCAACTAGCAACATCTAGAGGACTACAGGTTCTCCCATCCCTGATGTAAGTTCTGATTGCTTACTTTGTCATCTTTGCTCTGTTGAATCTAATCACTCTATTTTAGTTTCTCTTTCTCTCTCTTTAAATAAGATTAAGTGGTTCTGATGCACTAGTTCCAACAAATTCCTTGAACAAGTAGAGTTTAAGTGAATATACAGGATTTATATGCTAGAGAATTTAGTCAAAGCATAGAAAGAAAACCAGTACAGGTAATACTTGTTTAGCAATTGTTCCCAGTAACTTTACAACCAATTCTTGCATTTACAATCTTCTCAGGATTGTAAAGCAAAGATAAGCTGAAGTAGGATCATTAGCACAGTCGCAGTTTCACTTAGCCACCACTTCGCTTAATGACCATGTTGCCAGTCCCAATTGTGATTACTAAACGAGGACTACCTGTAGAAGAAAGGAAATCTCTATGTCTTTCATCATTTTATTATGCTAACAATATCCCCAGTATCCCTCCAATGTATAGAGGATCATGAGATGTATCTTTCACTTCACGTGCTGCAGTCATTTCTTTAGTGAAGAAATGGGTAATCTTTTTCAGGCTGGGTTGTGGATATTTTTTAAAAAAATACATGGCCTCTGAAGGCCATATGTCTGGTGATACATGATGCAACTGGGCAGGCAGAGCCAAAAATGTTCAGCTCTTCTGTTTGCTTCCTTGTTTTCTGCATTGGGAATTAGAAGAATTTAAAGATAAAATTTGATGCTTTTTATTTACAGAAGTTTAATACAGATATTGCCATTATTATTTTTGCAAAAATAACACGTACCTTTCCCCAGCCCCTCTGTGCTCACACTTCACTGGCCACTCGCACACTCTCCCTGACCTGCGCCACACCTCTTGCTCACACCCACATACCCTTGCGCACACTTCCCAACCTGCACCGCACCTCTTGTGCATCCTCCCCAACCCACGCTGTGCCTCTTGCACATCCTTGTGCACCCTCCCTGACCTGCACCTCTTGCATACACCTTGGCACCCTCCCAGACCCATGCCACGTGCACCCCCTCACATCCTTGCGCAGCCACCCCGACCTGCACCACACCTCTCACACACTCCTGCAGACCCCCTCACTCCCTCACCCACCCAGCAGAAGCCATTTATTTGCCTCCTGGCCTGGGACTTGCAACTTCCTCCTGGCTTCCCCCCACTGACTTTGGTTGTGGGAAGCCAGCAGGAAGTTGCCTCACCTAACAACCGTGGGATTCAATTAATGATGGCAACTGAGACTGCAGAGGTTGCCATCGTTAAGTGATGCAGTCGCACTTTATGATCTCATCCCTTAGTGACAGAAATTATGGTCCCAATTGCTGCTGTAAGTTGAGGACTACCTGTACCCACCAATCATATACTTTTCTCCGCCTAGCTTACCTCCTTATAACCATCTCACTCTGTTTTTATCTCATAGTACCTTTCTGTTGAACATGTTAATGTGAAGAGGAAAAAAGAATGTGCATGCTATCTCATTCTCTCTCACACAGACACACACATATAGAACAAGAGCTTCTGTGAAGCTACTTTTGAAGGAAACAAAATAGCTGCTATGGAATATACTGCTAAATTTGTGTAGGCTGCTAAGTTGGTTGAGCTTTTGAGAGGAATGATACATTTTTGAGTTGTAGGACTCAATATGTTGTGTACAGGTAGTCCCCAGGTTAAGAACACCTAGGTTACAGGCGACTCATAGTTAAGAACAGAGCCTATTGTAGCAAAATTCGAGTTAAATATACAATGGTTTGAGTTCATTATACAATACTGCTTGTAGAGTATTATACAATAATACTGTTCTGGCTTACGTACAAATTCGACTTAAGGACAGACCTTGAGAATGGAATTGTTCTTAAACTAGGACTACCTTACAATAATACTGTTCTGGCTTACGTACAAATTCGACTTAAGGACAGACCTTGAGAATGGAATTGTTCTTAAACTAGGACTACCTTACAATAATACTGTTCTGGCTTACGTACAAATTCGACTTAAGGACAGACCTTGAGAATGGAATTGTTCTTAAACTAGGACTACCTGTATACATCTTAATGTACTGGTAGTTTTTCTTAATTGTTCAGTAATTAATTTCAGTATGTTTTGCTGTTTATATAGTGGTCTGCACCTAAACAAATACATCTTTACAAATAGTTGCTACTGTTATGATTATTACATAGAAAGCAAGTCTGGAAACAGTGTATGCTTCCTGCAAATATGCACATAACTAGTTGTATTCAGCTTAAAATGAAATTCAACAGCTATTTGAAATAATTCTTTAACTTCTCCAAAGTAAAGAGAACATTTATTCACTGTAGTTAAATGTGGAAAATTAGTCAGCAATTCTATGCGTACCTATTACTTGTTATCATTTTTGTCTCCCGTAGTGTTTATACTATGCTTCCCTGTAGTATTCTTCATTGGTCTTCTGCCTCAGGTGAACACATTTGTGATGTACCTCTGTGAACAATTAGATATTCATGTCTTTGGTGGCAATGGTGAGTTAAACCACTTTTTTTCATGAAAAATAATCAGTAAACAACTTTTCAGTGTGTTTCTAAAAATAATTTGAGTGCTTATCCAGGCTGTCAATTTTAAGTGTATCACATTTTTGCCTGCCCAAATTATCTGGCTAAGTACTCATACAAGGCACTGGCTTGATAATCAGATAGTTATGTATGTTATGTACTAATTTATATAAGCAAACATAATTTAATCATATTTTGATATAATATAGGAGTGCATGAGACAATTCTTGGTTTTATATATTTCTTTGTCATTTTATTTGAAATGAGATTTTCTCTTTACAGTACTTGGTTTGCCACTGTATGTCACTTGCAAAGAAAATGCATACCATAACATATTGTTGAAATATACAACTAGACTGTGGTTTGCTACAAATTAGGAAAGTTGAGAATTAAGTGCATGAGCCTAGGGCTGACTTCAATTTTGTATGCTTTCGTATGCTTGTTTTGGCATTGTGTGTGTGTGCATGTGTGCGCATGCCTTTAAGTCACTTTTGACTCTTGGCACTTGCCAGTCCCTGCAGTTTTCTTGGCAAGGTTTTTCAGAAGTGATTTGCCATTGCCTTCTTCCTAGGGCTGAGAGAGAGCGACTGGCCTAAAGACACCCAGCTGGTTTTGTGCCTAAGGCAAGAACTCCCAGTATCCCAGTTTCCAGCTTGGTGCCTTTAACTACTATACCAAACTAGCTTTCTTTTGGCATTATGCCTGTTCTTTATTGTCTCAACATTGTCCAAGCAACTGATTCATCTCAAAGCAATATCTCAAGGCTTGCTAATTGGACAAACGAAAACACTGATAGGAACTTTCCATGCACCAAAATAGTGTTACATATAATCTGATGAATTGTAATATACTCCAGAAGTTGCTAGGAATTCCAGAAACCTTCTCAAATTATTGTGCTTCTATTAATTAAGAATATATTATTTAAACAGTAATAATAATTTATCTTTGATAACTAAGAAGATGTTAAAAAATATTTCCTGAAAGTGAATTCATTTAAATTCTTTATACTATATATACAGCAGAGTATTCACTATTTAAAAAAATATCTGGAAATACCCTCAATTTACTTAACTTCATTTGGGATTTAGGAAGAAGTCATTTATATGAATTAGCTTTCCAGGTTCATGAAATTACTAGATGTCACTCAAAGGAGAGTTTTAGTATTGAAAAATAACTTATCACAAGAGATATACCTAAAAACAAACTTCAAAATAATAAATGCTTAATCCTTACATCAAGATTCATTTTACTCATTTCTTCATTATCATCTTATTATCTAGCCACGACGAGCCTCATTGCAGCACTCTACAGTTTTATCTGTAGTATTGTGGCAGTAGCATTATTATATGGATTGTGTTATGGGGCCCTAAAGGTGAGTAATAGCACCAGCGCTATGTTTTTATATAGTACAGTTAGATTTAAAATTATTTAAAATTATTATGTTTTGTCTTTTTGTAAAATGGACAAATAATAAATTTATCAACATTTGATAAATGTTGTCATTTGATTCCATAGCATTTATAGATGGAGATAAGATGCTCTTTCTTTTGTACAATACAAAAACCCAGAGATCTTTCAGTAAAATTAATTTGAAATGGCTTCAAGGCACACCCAAAAATCCCACATTTTTGTTATACAACAAAATACGTTTTAAATATTCATTGATATAGGTTGTAATGGTCTTTACCTTAGACAAATTCAATGACATATTATTTCTTTTTTTTTTTATAATAGTGAAATACAAACAACTACAACATCATCAGAAAAAAAAATATACTAATGGTTTACAGTGGGAAAAGAACATCTCTCTCTCTCTCTCTCTCTCAATGCATACTGTGATGATTAAAATAAATTAAAACCTAGTGAAAAAGGAAAAAAAACCAAAGAAAAAAGATCTATAGAGAATTAATTTAGCCCTTAAGTTTATAATTAAATCTAGACCATATGGAAATATTCTGCTACATTCCCCTTTTTTAGAACATGAAGACTTTTCAAAAATAGATAGCAGTTCACATCCTAAATTTAACAGGATAGTTGACTGATTCATAGAGCAGATGTATAGACATGGCTACATGGGTCCTTCAGATTTAGAAAAAGTATATTGCTGAATATAAATTGCTGAAAATCAGAACTTGTGGACTTCTGCTACCTTCACACCTGCATATATGTCTCCTAGTACCAACATTTGCATTTATTTCTAAAACGTCATGTAATTTTAGAAGATAACTTGTTCAGTTTTGCCTTTGTCCTAATTTTGCTTATAATTTGGAAGAGCATGGTATGTGTCTCTCTTAAATACTGAGATTTGATAGTTCCAAAGTCCATTTATTTTTCCCAAGGGATTAAAGTGCTTCCAAATACTTTCTGATCTGTATACTGAGCACATGGTGCAGGGGACTGAGGAAGAAGAGAGAAAACTCTGAAAAACAGATAGAGGAGAATACATTGCACACATGTTGATCTGATACGAACAGATATTGGTCAGTCCATGCTATTGTCATAGTGGCTGTAGAAAAAGTGAGATTAGTTTTGACAGAGGATCAGTTTTTGCTCAGCTGTAGAACACCATTCCTCTAGAGGATATATTATAGTTACTTACTCCTAATTTATAAATAATAACTGTGTTTCAGAGGTCTCAGAGTTCTATGGGTCCTGAGTCACTGTTTCCTTGGAGTTGGATTGCTTTATGGTTACATTTCATCACTGGTTTTTTTGTATTGAATCAAAAAGCAGGTTTAAAATAATTCCAAAAACAAATAGCCTCATGCATTACCAATTATGCACATTGATATGATAATTAATTTTTGAGTGCAGAATTTCTAATAGCATCACTGTTTTAAAATAAAAATGACCTTTTATTCTATAAGTTGACTCAGTCATTCTGCTAAAGTTATATATATTTGTCCACAGGATTCTTGGGACGGCCAACATATTCCAGTGCTTTTTTCAGTATTCTGTGGTACATTAGTGGCAATATCCTATCATCTCAGCCGGCAAAGTAGTGATCCTTCTGTCCTTTTGTAAGTGGTGACTTCCTATTCCCATATTACATAAATTGTGTTCCTCTAATTGAGAAATATTAGAAGAAATTGACCTTTTAAAAGCCTAAAGCTGCTTCTATGAATAAGTCACCATGAACCCCCTTGGATCTGTTAGTAAATATATATAGGATTGAAACTGTGGCTCTCTGCTGCATTTAAATTTCTTTCTTAAAAGTGCCAGGTTACCCTGATCACAGCCATAGAGTATGACAATTCTGAAGCATTTGCATATATAGGGATGCAATCATCTTTTCTGTCCATTAGCCCATCGCTTCTTTCTGTAGTAAGAGGTGATTCTCCATCCCTTGTTCAGAGATTCTGAAGTAAAGTGTTTTGTGGAGTCCTTGGAATTCTCTGAGCTTGGCAGTTTTCTTGCAAACGTTTTGTTACCTGGCTAGGTAACATCTTTGTTAGCCAGCTAGGTAACATCTTCGTTACCCGGCTAGGTAACATCTTCAACACTCTTCTATTGGTAAAGTGTTTCATTTGCTTGTTCAAGGAGACTAGAGGATGCAAAGAATGTATATGATGCACCCGGAGCTTTGTAGGATCAATTATTTGTGTAAGAACAGTGAGCTAAAAAAATACACAGAAATACTTTAAATGACTTACAAATATGTTTGAAATCTTGAGCTGAATCATCTCTGATGATATCCAAAAGATAAATGTGTAATAATGAGTTATTAGTATTATTTACATTTTCAAGTTTCAACAGTTTCAGTGAAACTATGAATAAATGGCACATTGTTGTAGGGAGTATACAGAAGTAATGTACAGTCATGTGAAAAAGAAAGTACACCTTCTTTGAGTACTATGGTATTACATATCAGGACATAATAAAAATCATCTGGCCCTTAGCAGTTCTCAAAAGTAAGTAAGTACAGTCTCAGATGAATAACAACACATGACATATTACACCATGTCGTCATTTATTTTACAAAAAGAAAGCCAAAATGGACAAGCTACGTGTGAAAAATTAAGTACACCTTAACTCCTTCCGTAGGTATGAAGAGGCTAAGTAGCAGCCAGGTGCTGCTAATCAAATGCCCTTGATCAATTGATCCTCAGGAAGTATGACTATAAAAGCCAAAGTTTTAGGAGTTTGCTGGTCTTGAGCATTGAGGTGTGTGTTAACACAATGCCAAAGAGTAAAGACA